TTATGATTTAGCATACCAGAATATTTGATTCTGTTGAGTAATTACATAGTACACAATTCATTATATCCGTCACTTTTAGACTTTTCAGTGTCATCCAAACTGTCTGATCTTAAGTTCCCTTAACTCTCCCTGTAGAAGTTTAAACATATGATCATTGACGCTATGCACATAATCATGCGTAGGTGCTAAAATAGCTTTATTCTCAAAGAAGTTCGCCATTCAAATATTATTCACAATGTTAGGATAAATGGTTTTGCTAATAAAATCAATAGGTTGCTCACTTGGGGTGGATAAATTAATCATTAGGGATATCAATATCTGTTCGCCGTCATTAGGGCTTTCGATAAGCCCATTACAAAAATTTAGCAACCATTCTGAAATTTTTTTTGTATCTTCTGACATTTTACCTTGACCACCATAGCAAAGCCGCATGTTCACAATAAGGATCTCCACCACCATATTCTTACAACACTCTCTAAAACCACAACATAAAAAATGTCACAAATTTATAATGAATCATTACTTTTCTTTAAATTTTACTAACATTCTAACCCATCATTAGATGAACCCGCAAAGGATACGTGCCAAAATTTCAATTGAATGATGTTTTGGCTATCTTCTACACCTAAGTCTTACAAAACTTACTAAAATGACCATGTAAAAATTTACCACATATTTCTAATTAATTATTAATTTATTTTTCCAAAATTTTACTAATATCCTACATATCATTGGATGAACCCGCAATGATCATGTGCCAAAATCTATATAAAAATGATGTTTTGACAAACAATCTCCTACACTAAAATCACATTACCTAACACCACCATATAAAATTTATCACAAGTTTTTATATATTTACTATTTCCCCCCTAAAATTTTACTAATACCTTAACCTATTATTGGATCAACATGTCAGGATCATGTGCAAAAATTTCAGTAAAATAATATTTTGGCTAACAATCTCCAACACCAAATCTTACAAAACTTCCTAAAATGACCATATAAAATTTATCATAAATTTCTAAAAACTTGTAATTTATGTTTTTTTTTAAAAAAAAAATTTACTAACACCCTAACCCATCATTAGATAAACCCACCAGGGTCATATGCTAAAATCTATATAAAAAAGATGTTTTGGCAGACAATCTTCTACACAAAAATCATACAACAGTTCCTAAAATCACCATATAAAATATTTGACAAATTCTTAATCACTTATTACTTTTTCAAAAAAAATTACCAATATCTTAACCCATCTTTAGATCAACCCGTCATGGTTATGTGCCAAAATTTCAATTAAATGACGTTTTGGCTAACGATTTCCTACACCAAAATTATACAACACTTCATAATACCACCATATAAAAATTATCAAAATTTTCTAATTAATTATTACTTTCATTTCTTCAAATTTTTCTAACACCTTAACCTATCATTTGATAAACCCGTCAGAGTCATGTACCAAAATAATAATTAAATTATGTTTTGGTTAAGGGTCTCTTATACCTAAATCTTATAAAACTTCCTAAAATGACATTATAAAATTTGTCACAAATTTATAATTAATTATAAATTTATTTTTAATATATATTTTACGAACACCCTAACCCATTATTGAATGAACTCGCTAGGATGATGTGCCAAAATCTATATAAAAATGATGTTTTGGCAAACACTCTTAAACAAAAAACATACAGCAATTCCTAAAACCACCATATTAAATTTTTCACAAATTTTTATTTATTGTTACTTTTTAAAAAGAAAAAATTACTCATATCCTAATCCATCATTGGATAAACATGTCAGGGTCACGTGTCAATATTTTAATTAAATAATATTGTAGCTAACAATCTCCTACACCAAAATCATACAACACTTCCTAAAACAACCACATAAAATTATCACAAATTTCTAATTAATTATTATTTTCATTTCTTTATATTTTACTAACACTCTAATCATTCACTGGATGAACCCGTCAAGGTCATATGCTAAAATTTCAATTGAATGATATTTTGGATAACAATCTCCTACACTTAAATCTTATAAAACATCCTAAAACGACTAACTAAAATTTATAACAAATTTCTATTTAATTATTAATTTATTTTTTTAAAAAATTTACTAAACTCATGAGGGTCATGTGCTAAAATCTATATAAACTGTAATTTTGGCAAACAATCTCCAACTCCAAAATCATACAACACTTCCCAAAATCACCATATAAAATTTTTCACAAATTTTTGATCAATTATTAATTTTTTTCTTAAAATTTCACTAATATCCTTACCCATCATCGGATCAACCTGTCAAGGTAATATGCGAAAATTTCAATTAAATGATGTTTTGACTAACAATCTCATACATCTAAATCTTACAAAACTTCCTAAAAAAAAATCCCTTGATAATTGGGATTTTCTTGTACTTATCAGTAATTACTTTATGAACGAATACGCAAACATTTATTTAAGGGATTATATGAAACGAAGACGTTATTAGTTGATGGAAATTGTTTCCTTTTTCAAATTGAAGATTTTGGTCAAGGAACATGATCATGTAAGTATGTTTAGGCTTAAACCTCTGTTTATGAATTTATGTATGATGCGCTAATGGGGAAATAAATGTGATATACTGTGGTGATGGTTGTTTTTTTTTTTTTTTTTGGAATGAATTCCATGCACTAAATTAATTACTAATTAGTAAATGTCAAATAAATTATAATTTATGCCGTCACATTAGGTAATGATCTGTGGGAAAAAAATCCCAAAAAAAATGACAAAATTACATGTAGGATGGATGACGTGGCTTCACAAGATGGCTTAAAAATGGTCAACTTTAATATATATAGATAGATAGATGTACAGCAGCCTACTTGGTTCCATGCCAACCTATGCTGTGGCCGCTAAAACAAATCAGAATTTGAGAACTCAAACCCAAAGTATTGCAAAGTCAGGCAGGCCCAAGTAACAGTCCAAAACCACACCTCAAAGAGAAGACTTGGCCCATTGGCTCTGAAAGTGGAAATGATAACACATTAACTGGGCCACTCCAGTAGCTAATGATGAAACTCCAGGCTTCCGATCTTTGCTATCTGAATATTCGCTCGCTAGTTGGCACATCAAGATATTGGTTTGAGTAACTCATTTTCAATTATTTAGAAAAACTTCAGAGAGAATATGTTGAGGGAAAAAATAAAATAAAATAAAAATTCGACCATTTCTCTTGCGATTGGGTAATAAAGCTGTCTTAATCAACCGTTGTAAACTAGTGACTTTCTTCTTTCAACTTCTTAATAGATTCAATGAAATTTTATGTCAAAGATGGAAAAGAACAAAAAAAAATAAAAACAAGTGAAAGGAATTCAAATACTATCCCCATAAAAATTTTATTCCGTCTCATTTTAATAATTCATTTTGTCAAATTAAAATAATATACAATAAAATGAACAAGTTAAATGAAATGACGAGAGAATAAAGACCCATACTTTATCGAAACTGGAAATGAAAAAAAAAAAAAAAAGAGAAAGAGAGAAAAGAAGAATGGATCAAAACTGAAAAGGATTCGTTTGACTACAATGAACCTATGTGATATTATTTGTTTATTATATAGTTAAAAGCGCACTAAAATTGACTTATTACCAGACCTAATATGGTAAATTTAGACACCATATTCTTCACATCATTAATTTTCAGGAAAAGTCAAGAAAACCATTAACTGCACCAAGTCAAAATTGAGAGATGGATTAATGTGAAATGAATAAATCCTTGAATCTATGCAGCTAGAAAGCACTTGAATTTATAAATTAAAATAACTAAAACGAAAATCAGGCTCACTGAGTTAATGCTTTTCCTTGTTCTGGTGGTGTAAATCAAATCGTGGTTATAAAACCGTACAAGAAAGAATAGACAAAACTTGTATAGCAAAAATTTATATCCCATTATGTGTACTATTGGTAATAGTGATTAATCTGTTCATTTAGTTATAGGCATTTTGATGGAAGAAAGTGACACAACGATTAAAAAATTTAAAGCTGATCCATATCGATGACGAGTTTTGAATCCTTAACTGTTTAAAACATTATTTAATAGAGCAAATAAATGAAAACACATACTTAAAAAAATACAAAAATTTACACCTTCCAATCCCGACTATGGAGAAAGGTACTCATGACAATCAATATAAAACAGAGGGAAACATAAGCACTATTTAATTCAATTTTTAAATTCAATCAATCTTTATCGTTTATTAGCCCTGAAGAAGTCCTAAATCTCGTCCCCCCTCTTCTATATATATTTTTTCCATTTGTTTTTTACGTCTTAGATTCGTTCTTTGAAGTTTGAACGTTCAACTGTGGTGTAATCATAATTTAGTAGTTTTAATATATAGCTTTTCTTGGCTAAAAATGATCTACGTGTATCAATTTCAGTACACATGATGCGATGACGGTCTCTTGACCTTTTTATTACAAGGAAATTTCTAATTTTTTTGAAGTTAGATAATTAAAGTAATAGTCAATTAAGTAAACAATAATCTTTTTATTTGTTCACCTTCTCATCTCTCACGTGATTGAATAAACTACTAAATGTAACAAGTGTAAGAATGATAACGAGTTATAGACTTTGTGAGAATTCACTAATTTCTGGCTGCAAATTACTTCATCCGTCCCAAAATTATTCTCCAGTTCGAATTTTTATTGAACTAAAAATAAAAATCCAAACGGGACAATAATTTTGAGACAGAATAAGTATTATCGAATACTATATTTTCATTTTAGTAGACACATATCATAATTATATTATATCTTCTCAGTTCCAAATCGATTATTCTCTTTGGAATGTAACAGGACAATTATTTTGAGACCGGATGAATATTCACATTTTAGACTGATACCCGTTCAACTTAGTAAACTCTGTTCTTGGTAAATGACTATCTACTAAGACGTGGTATTGATTATAAAGCATAAATAAAAAAAAAAAATCTGGGCATGTGACATAGTATATCATATGATATTGTTTACCGTAATCCTATAGAGCGTAGACTAAGCTAAGGAATGCCGGCGAGGTGGGTTGGGTACAGCCAAATTGAAGAAAGATGGAAGACTTGTAGATTTGTGAAACAAAGACAGAGTAGCTGACTTCTGGTGGACCGTGCAGGTCGTTTTCAGTTCAGACAATCAAAAAGTGATATTGTGTAAACACTAATCGTATCTCACCCAAAAAATGACACAAGCACCCAGCAAGAAAAAAAAAAGAAAAAAGAAAAGAGGTGTGCACACACACACACACACACTTCCAGTTTTGCCCTGTTGTTGTCGTACTGTTTCTGCCTTTATTTCATCATTTCCAAAAAGGACTTTGAGAAAAGAAAAGTATGCTTCTTTGGACCCCTTTGAGGTTTAGATGGGCAGTGGGAACACGCTCATTACCGGAGGAACAGGGACGACTCCTGACTGATTCTTTTTACCATTTAGGACCTTTACCATATATATTCATTTTCTACTAGTTCAAATTTTTTTGGTGTTCCTTAATTTATAATTTGTATCCTACTACCTGGTGGGTTCAGGGTTCATTCATTTCATTCTCCCCTGACGTTCTTCAGAACTTGAAACCCCTTTTCAGGAACTTGTAAGTTTGATCTTTCCATGTGTGTGTTTTTAGTTTAATTCTGTGTTATTTTTGGAGTTTCAATTGCCTTTTGATCTTAAAGGTGGAACCTTTGTGGGAAAAGTTTTGCACAGTTTGTTTTTGGTTAGCAAGACTAGTTTATGGTTGTGAAGAATGGTTGGGACAGAAATGTTGGATTTGACTGGGGAATAAAGTTAGGCTTAATGCTAATTATACCTGGTTATTGGCATGTTGTTGAGAATGAGGGTTTGGGCACATTCAATTTGATTAGACGTGATCCTAAGCTAGGATTCTACCACCTTTGATGGTTCATGGTTCACGATTCAACTCTTTTCTTTCATCTTGAATTGATGAGTTATCTTAATGTTCAGTTCTTTTTCTTTTTCCTCTTTTGGAATTCTGTTAAAGGTTCGCCTTTTCTCTGTACTTCTGTAGCATAGTAGGACATGATAATTATTATGATAGTTTGGTATTGATCTCGTGGTACAATGGTGTCCACTACTCTTTGCCTTAAGCACATTATAGATTGCATTTATGATTGCAATAACTTTCTGATTTTGATCATTTGAATGTGTGGACATCCTCTGTAGAGAATGAACATTGAAGATATTCATATTGAAGTCTAAATATTGCTGTCACAAGCTGTGGGTGGACATGGGTTGTAGCTGCTTCGGTTCATCCCGCGTGGACCAGAAGGGTAAGGGTTCTGCTTATCAAGGTGCCGGAAATGCTGAAGGTGAATGCTTTATTATGGTGATCATAGATGACTCATAATTTTCTGGAACATTGTCTTAGGTTGGACATTGATATGTGATGTGATATATTCTGATTTTGATTTTGTAGCATCATTGCTAAAAAGATCTACTTCTATTCTCATTACCTCCAATGATGAAATACTGCTAAATCCTTTGACTTAAAGAACCAAGTTGATGATGTGGTATAAGATAATCAGTAGGCCGATAGCCTGATTCCTTAAAATTCTCATGTAGCCTTGTTGTAGTAACTATTACTCCCTCCATTCCATTTTATTAGTCCACTTTGTCGTATTATTTAAATCAACTAAGTGAACTATTAAAAGAGTACGGAGGGAGTAGTATTCTTTTTCAACCATCATATATTCTGCTTTTAAACCATCAATACTTGTTTTCTCTTCCCTTTTATTAGTTAGCAGTAGGTCTGTGCATATGGAATTGAAATTGTGTCACCACATTAAAAGAGTAATGGAAGCTTTTATCTGAAAGTTTCAAGTTTCTGTCGATCCTTGCTACAATGTCATTTAGACAGGTCTCATTAAAATTGAATTTAGCACCTCATAGATCTCTGTCAGTCAGCTCTGTAGTCGACTCAATATTTTGTCATTTTCTGGTCATGCATTGATCATATTGTTGATTTTCAGCAGACCTACTAGGGAAGACAAAACATTTCACATATAAAGAATTATCAGCAGCAACAGATCAGTTTCATCAACGTAATAAGATAGGGCGAGGTGGGTTCGGGACAGTTTTTAAGGTAATTTAATTTGGGTTTTTTTTTTTTTTTTGTTTTCCTTCTCTCAAGCTAGATTGGACAGTTTTTGGTTTCTTGGCATTATTTGCTCCCAAAGTTCAATTTAATTGCATCCTCCGAAGTTCTGAACTTGTCTGACAGTTGAAACGCTTTTCTTCTGGTAAATTTCTTTGCTGTCAGTATCCAATATTGATTTGAAACAAATCGTCAATGCGTGAGCATATAGAAGAAGTAGTTGTTTTTCTCACGTGTGGTCCCATATTCTTACTTACCATTGCAGATTTTGGGCCCAGACAAACTTTTTATAAGCAATTAAGTGTCGTGATTCTTGATCTTTTTTGTGTAGTAGTTCCAATATTGGACTAGCTGCTGAAGTAGTATTTAAGTAAAAGAAGTGTAGCTCTTAACTTTATGCAGCTATGAAGTTTGTTTCTGGGACTTACAGTGTTGCATTCTTTTAGGGAAACCTGAGAAATGGAACTCCAGTTGCTGTAAAGACACTTTCTGCATTTTCGAAGCAGGGTTTACGGGAATTTTTGACTGAGATTGAAGCCATATCGAATGTCAGACATCCAAACCTTGTTCAATTGTATGGATGTTGTGTACATGGCGATAACCGGATATTAGTATACGAGTATCTTGAAAATAATAGCCTTGATTCTGTATTACTTGGTAAGACAGTTTCTCGAAGAACTTGTTATGCGTGGTAATTCCGTGATCTTCTGTGTGATCCTCTATGCCTTTGTATGTTGGCAGGTAGATTTAGAACAATAAAATTGGACTGGAGCAAAAGAGCAGCTATTTGCTTGGGAACTGCTAAGGGTCTTGCATATCTCCACGAAGAACTTGTGCCACGTATAGTGCACAGGGACATCAAAGCTAGTAATATACTTCTTAAGAGAGATTTTACACCGAAAATTGGGGACTTTGGGTTGGCTAAGCTGTTTCCGGATGATATAACACACATCAGTACAAAAATAGCAGGAACCACGTATGTCCCATTTCTCTTAGTTGGAGAAGTCTGAATCACCTGCCATAGTAATTAAAACACTTCTTTTCTTAATTTCATGTTGTCACACGTTTTGCTTGGGTGCATTTTGGTTCGTCTTGACATCATGGTTATTAACCTGTTAGTGTAATATTAAAATCAGGTCATAAATGAGTTATGTAACACTCCCATTTTTGAAAACTGTCACACCTTTAAAGGTGAATTCTTTTCTCATCTACTGGATTCTGTTTGGATTTGTACACATGTTCAATGTAGTTTACAGTTAATTACCTCACGAGCCTCTGCATTTAGGCCACCACATATAGGTACTCTCTTCAATTCAGCCTCATTCACTCTTTGGTTGCGACCTTGGTGCTCCTATTTTGAAGTTGACTTCATGTAGTTACCAGCAAAAAATCATATTGTTGCTCCTTGTGTGTTGAACAAGATTCACCCACATGTACTCATCTGTTGTTTTTTTTAATCAGGGGATATCTTGCACCTGAATATGCATTAGGTGGTCAATTAACGATGAAGGCCGATGTATACAGCTTTGGAGTCGTTCTACTTGAAATAGTTAGTGGTAAAAGTAGTTCGAGATCAAATTGGGGTGGTACGGAGAAGCTACTTCTGGAATGGGTACGTGACAAAGATATAAAGTTTTTTGCAGTTTTGCTTTTTTGCCAGTTTCTGAAGCATAAGTTATCCATATAGAAAGCAACATTTTATGTGTATAAGCATAAGCATACTTATTTGAATGCATGTCTTAGGAACTTAAACATGTCCTTTCAGAATCATTTCATAACCTGCCGCCACATTGGAAGCACTGATCCTTTAGAAAGAGTGTGTACTTTAGGAATCAAATCATGAGGCATAAATATCCTAAAAGCTATAATTTTGAAGTGCCAAAATTCATAAAACTGTCATACGCCATCCCAAGTTACCATATTATAAATCTGAAATTTCAATTCTCTGTTTCTCTGAAGAGTGTGCTGGTCAAACGTTCTGTGAAACATAAAGGTAGGTTCATACATCTTACTTCTCTTTTACAGGCATGGGAACTCTATCAGGGAGAGAAGTTGATGGATCTAGTTGATCCTGAACTGGATGATATTCCTGAGCAAGAGGCCCTTAGGTATATAAAGGTAGCCCTTTTCTGTACGCAAGCAAATGCAAGTCGAAGACCATCAATGAGCCAAGTTGTCAGTATGCTTTCTAGAGATATCCGGCTCAACGAGAAGCAGCTCACCCCGCCTGGGTTTTTCCAAGGATCAGGTGCGCATAATTCATTGCAGTCCAAAGATAAGTTGTCAGGGGCCTCCGCTAGCTTCCAAATGAGCTCAGCACCCACCACTCTCACTGAGCTCAATCCAAGGTGAAAATCACTTGTCTATGAAATAACTTCCCCAACGTGGCAAAGATTGAATTTCTCCTTTTAGTACAGATCATTAGATATAGTTGAGGAGTATAGGTGTCACTATGAACATCGCGTTACACAATCTTTTTTTCTTTTTTTTTGGGGGATTTTCTTATAAGGTTTGATTCCCCAGTGGCTATAATTGATTGGCCTTGATTTATTTTCAGATGTTGATAAAATAAGGACAAGAGTTTGGTTGGGGATTTGAGGGAAGTGTTGTATATCACCATTTCACGGTGGATCACACATATGGGACCATAAATCCGGTAAATTGGGTGCTTCAATGATAAATCAGTTGTTATACCCGTATTCACTTCTTTAGTTGCTTGCATTTGTCTTAGTTTGGATATGATCTGATAGTAGTTAGTTGATGGTTGTTTACAAAGAGGTGGCTTTATCAGTGATTCATGAAATTCAGGAGTGCATAATGGGCATTCATGTCGCCTTTTCGGATGTCTTATTTGGTCAAGTAATCTATTAAAGTTGGATGGCGTTCATCAGACTTGCACACATCAATAGAAGAGACAGCCGAAAAAATAATGGAGAAACAAAAACAAATAAAAAAGGAAAAAGAATTTAGGTAAGCAATACTCGAGGTAATCTGTCTGTAATCCCTGGATCGTTGGTAGAATCATGCATGTGAACGTGTGACCGACTTTTATTTTCCTTCTGAAGCCAAGCAACTCCCATCCAACCACTGGGAAGCCGATACCAGTTATAATCAATCACCTACTTCGGGTAAAACTGTGAACCACTGGTCTAATTTGAGCAACTACACCAATATTTGTACGGTTTATACTATAGTGAAGGTAAAGCATAACTTTCATTGTCTAAATGCACAGAAAAATTATTGGGTACAACTGTTGTATCCTTTATTGGGTACAGCTGTTGTATCCTGGTTTTTAGTGCATCAAGTACTAGTATCCCTATTTTAGTGATATAACTCTCGTAGAAATTATCTCTCTTCCCCCTAAAATTATTACTTTACCTCTATTATTGTGTCTGGCTGCATAATGTTACGTGGTACAGCAGCTGCACTGAATAATTTCTCAAATGCACAAACTTTGATGCCTACTATTATTGATCCGGTGCACTAAATCAAAGTACAACCGTGCAAAAGACCTCAGAAAAAAGAGGGTTTTTCCTAACAAACAACCCTTGTCAACCCTACATATCTGGAAAGATGTATTCATACGCATTTTGTTGGACCACTTCACAATGCTATCTGGTGCCAGGGAATTTGACAAACCACGGCTTAAACCATTCAAAATAATGCGGCTTCAACAATTTCATGACGAACAACAATTACCGGTGATAAAAGTTTCATTCCATTATATGAAGTCCTCATCCCCGCCTATGAAATATGACATGAAAAAGGAAGGTGAAATTCGCCTACATACAGTTGCATTGTTGTACACTTGTACTAAATGACGGATGCAACAAAACATACTGACATATAATTTCAGAAGAATAGGATCCATGATTCATTATACGGAGGAAAAACTATTGCTGCCCAACTGCACTGCAAATATAGGACTCTGACAAATAAAGAAAATCTTAAAAGTAATACAACAAATTTTTTTTTAAAAAAACACAGAACCAGGTCTGCATAGTCATCAGATCCATGAACCAGACTTAATCAGAAGACATTCACAAATTGAAAAATTAAATAATATCGTGATAGTGAAGGGCATAAACACGAAAAATGTGGCTGGTGAATTGTAGACTAACTCCAATTGGAAAATTATTGAGCAGGCTGGTCAACGGGAGCAGCTTCTTCAGTAGATGCGGGAGTAGAGCCATTGGTAGTGGCATCTTTTGTAGGGGAAGTAGATGATTCACCAGCAGCAGAACCGTTAGAAGTAGCTTCTGGAGCTTTTCCATCCTTGGTCTTTGCATTCTTAGCATCCTTGGCATCCTTTCCAGCTTTCTCATCCTTGGCGGGTGGAGGTGGCATCATATGAGGTGGGGGATTGTGCTTAAGCTTCACTAATATATGGCGCATCCTGGAAAGATCAGTAGGTTTGCCAGGCTTTGGTCCTTGAATGACTGTGATCGATGGCTTCTTTTCTTGTTCCTTCTTGCCCCTCCTTTTCTCAATATTTGGCACCTCATTGGGAATCAATTCTCCAATGGCTTTCCAGTAATGCTTATCCACCTCCTTGTGAAACTTTTCTTGGCCTGAGAGATATAGCTGTTCCAGACACAAAATGAATCAGGTTATGGAGTAAAATTAGCTTCTGTAGTCATCATAGTACAAAGTAAAACTTTTGTTTTTTCCCCGCTTGTGAATGTAAAAAAGTGTGCTGGGATGGTAATTATATTAATTAAAAATTCCAAAGCGAACCTAGTAAACACCCGAAAAAACAAAACAAGCATAGCCTTTATTGATTATAACCCAAAACAGTTCCAGATAATAACAAGAACTGAATATCATTCTCACATTAAAAAACAATAATATTATTGACCGATCACTAAATATGTAATCACAGCCTGAGGTAATAACTGAACTGTATAGCGAATATTTCAAATAGTCCATAAAGTTTAAATCCACACCATACAGGCAAGCCGTTTATACCTGAAGAAGCAATAACACATGCAAAAAAGCCCCCAATAATCCTATTTTCAGCTTCTTGGTTTACCAACTGATTGAGCTGGTGAGAGATATTAGAGGACAAAATCAAGTTTCCAGAAGTAACAGTAGCTTGCAGTTTTATGAGACTAATACCAAGACAGCTATATGGATCATATGCTGCCATCATGCTCAGTCAACACACATATCTTCATTAAATTAGAGGAATTCAACTCAATTCTACTAATTTCTTTCCAAGTCTTTATTGGTCCCCTTTAATTTGAGTAAGTGATTCAATAGTTTCTCCTGTCTATCTAGGATATCTACAATCAAAAGTTAAATGAAAATGCCGATTGCATTTACCATTTAAATCACAGAAATACAACAACATTCACTGACATTCAGGATACAATAATGTAAAAAGCACTTCAGAAATATTAAGAATGGAAGCTAGTAAAAAGAATATCAGCGTTAAAGTCCACACCTTCTCTTTCTCTCTGTTGTTGTTCTTGTTGGTCTCAATGTTAACCTTTCTTTTCTCGTAGAAGGCCCGCTTGAATTCTTCGGCCTCTTCAATAATTTGGTTCCTAATCTCCTTTTCCAACTTCTCCTTCTCCTCTAGTCTGATAGCATTTTGCCTGCATTAGAAAGTGCCCAATGATGAGTTGGAAGGATCTATCTAGCAGTCCGTAAGCAATTCAATGACATGAAAATGGAACTTAATAAAAGTAGGCGACATTTGTAATAATCACTTTTCATGGAGAAGGGCGAGAGACCCGGACAAAGTTTATTATCTTTCCCAAGCTAGAAGCAGTCAATGTGGTTTACGATAAAACGGAAAAAACTTTTTGCACATCAGCAGATGTTGGCACCATAAATTAAGCAACAAAAACATTAATCAGCAAAATGTCCAGTTCCTTTGCATTAGAATGAGACAGATAAAAGTCCCAATTACACATTTCACAAGGCACAAGGCTAAGAACAGAGAATGTAACAAATGCAGTACAAGGCTCGAATCATCCTTCATGCCCCAAACAGACGACTACTGAAGTTTCGTGAGCCACATTCCCCTACCCTCGCAGGGTGATACAGTCCACACAAAGATTTCTTACCCGACATGGCAGTTGAATATTTACACTCGAGGTAAATTAGTTGAAAAGAGAGTGCAGAAGAGGAAACCTTATTGACAATAAATGATGAAACCCGTAAGCTTTTAGCATATTAAACAATAATTTGAAATATTCATCATCCAAACAAATACGACAAATGCAAATCAAACAAACAGAATATTTATTGCTGCACACAATCCCAACAAGTTTCACTCTTTTTCTAAAAGCCACAATTTGTACAAAAAATAATTTGAGAAAGATCCATTTCCTCGAATCAACTTGCTAATTATTTTCTGGCCGTGTATATACTTCCAATATTTATTTCAAAAAAAAAATATTTCATAAATAGTCCCAATCCCGAACTATAATTTTGGCTTTTCCTGCTAGAAACATGACTATTATAAGCCGAGTGGGATCATAGGCATATAAACTAGTAAAATCCATTTCTTTAAATCAACTAGAGAATTATGATCCCTCTTAGCCTATGTATTTTCAAAATTCTTAATTCTCGGGCTTCCCGTCCGTAGGAATCCCTCGCTCCAATTGAAACTAATTTACATGATCCATTCAGTTGAATTGACCTGAGAATTACAGTAAATTATTCTTATGCAGGTCAACACGTAATCACCGAAGATCCAATACTGAACATATATGAACCGGATTCGCAGCAGCAAAATACGATCTTTACATCATGAAGCCAAATCTAGCTAAAATTAACATAAGTGCAGTCCAAGCAAGCATCAAGTTGAGAAAGATTTAAAGAGCACAAAGCAGATCTAAACTTATTCAACCAATTAATGTCACAGAATGTACTAAGCCAAATACGAAATTGCCAAAAAAAAACAAAGTAACTCACCGACGCCATTCCCTGAGAGCAGCGCCTTCTTCTTGCATCTCATTGGGAGGAGGAAGAATAGGTCCGTCGGAGCTGAAAATCCCTTCCGAATCATCCCCAAGGTCATAAGGCTTGCCATTCCCGTTCGAAACCGGAACTGATGGAGCTCCAAAAGGCGCAGCAGGGGAGTATCCTTGGTCCGGATCCTGATTCGAACCAAATCCGAACGGATCGGGGCTCTCAACAGAGTGCTCCACGGTGACTTCCTCTTCTCCAAAGCTTGGGGGAAATCCTCCGCCGGAGCTGCCGTGGAAGGGAGGAGTATCGGCAGAGGAAAACGCAGTGTAAGAGTCGTACCCGCCGTAGCTTTCGTCGTCGAACGACCTCGTCGCCGATGGAGCATCGCCGTCGACGCTAAAACTGTCAAAAGATGCCATCTTTCTAAGTCTTTTTTTTTTTTCTCCTTTTTTTTTTTGGTTGGGTTAAATTTTATTCTGAGTTCTCTCTCTTTATGACTGGGGAGCGACGAAGCACTTCTCTGAATTTTCTTCTACAGACAGAGGCGAAGAACACGCGCCTTTTATAGTTTGGACTTTCTTTACGAAATTTAAAAAAAAAAAAGGGGAAATATATTATTTCAATAATATTATTATTATTTTTTTGGGTGAGTGGGATTACTTTTGGAAATGGAAACTAATTGATGGACATGTCATTATCTTCCACGTTCAGAAAAATCAATATGCCAAAATATATCGGAATTACTACTACCTTAGTTTCAAAGGATTTGGCCTTAAAATTCTGTAGTTTAGTTGTTTGGCAATAAATAGAGAAAATATTCCCTTACCTGTTTTATTAGGTTCTTAAATCCTTCAGATGCTTTTCTCCGTTTTTTTTTTTAAAAGAAAAATCTTTTTATATGTTCGGAAAATAGGAGTACTACGTATTAAATTTATTTTTGAAAGATACTTTTTTCTCCTGTTTAGAATAAGGGTAATGTTCATAGAATTAAACCCTGGAAAAAGTTGATTTTCCTTGGAAATTATTTAGAAGATGTAGTTAGAGAGTTAGAAGGAGAGAAGATTTAGCTAGAGTTCCAAAAGAGAGAATCTAGGATCAGAAATAAATATAGAGCTAGATTTATGGTAATTAATAAATCTTTTCCAATTCTAGAGGATATATGACTTTGACTTGAGGTTGAAACTAGTATTTTCCACATTTTAATCTGATTTTAGAGATGTCCTGAGAATGCCATTTCAAATGTTTGGCTTTGTTCTCCCTTCCGTTCTTAATGTAAAACATTTTAATTTATCATAAGTTTCACTTATAATATATAAAAATTAAAAAAATTCTTAAAAATATATTTTTATATTTTGTGTTCTCTTAATGGTTATGAAATAATTTTAAAATTTTTGTATACATACTAGGTGAAATTTAGAACAAATGAAAATGCCTCATATTAAAGATCGGAAAGAGTATTTTTAAAGTTTTTTTTTTTTTTTCTCAGATGCGTAAAATTGAGGACAGAGGGTGATTATTAAGTGTTTTATGAGAACAAATCTGAAAAAGTCAGCACACAAGGTTGGGACAATAAAGCTGTTGGACCAGCTAGAATGAATAAGTTAAAGTAGTAATTACAAAACTGCATCTGTCCAGTGAGGCAGTACAATGAGGAGGAGCTCTGCAACTCGCCAAAACTTTACCCTTTTGAACTTCCAAGTTCTGAAGCAGAAACAAAAAGGAGCCACTTTACGGTAACCTTTATGGCCATTCATCCCCAAAATCCACATCCTAAACCGCTAAAATAATCCCACAAATCTCTGTACTATTCACACATGCACTCAAGTCATGATCATGGTTAGTTTTTGGTAAAAGCATTATACAAAGGGTAGACCATTACAGAGCTGACAGTCTTCTGCTTCCCTGCTGGGTGCACCATCGGATATTCACGGAACATGTACATTTTGGACGGCGACAGTGCAGCTTGGCATCCCTGCATCTTCAGAAACATTCATCGATATCAACAATCAGATGAGCAATTCCAAAATTTACAGCATCTGGATACCCATGAAACAGTGTGTTACATGCCAGGCGCCGTTCGCAATAGCACCCTCGCCTGCTTAAGGTCTCCCTGCATTATCTGCATATGCTATACTCGCAAATTGTGATTGGGCTTGGAACCTCTTACGGAACAGGAGAAGCATTTTTCTGATATCTAGCGGAGGATGGAATCCGTTGCATGACTCTTGGAAACTCTGGTTTGAATCTTTTGGTTGGCATTCCCTGCCATGATCTGTTCAGGGCAGTTAGTAACAAAGACCAAATATATACATTTTCAGCAACTTTCGGAAATCAAAAAACCGGTCATAGATGCCAAAAATTTAGTGAAAAAGCAAACAAGATGCAAGCTGCAAAACAGAAAACTTCAAACTTGGAAAGAAAATTTCATCTTCTACAACACACAACCATCACTTAATCAAAGCAGGATGATTATGTCAACTCTTCCATTGGTAATAAAACACTATACATTACAATCTTGTTAGCCACAGGAAACAATTTAAAGTGACAGGCACACAACTCACCTAGGAGAACCTTGCCGCTTATGATCGTAATGACCTAGCATCGATTTCAAGGCTCCAAGAGCTTTTTCAGCAGCCTATAAAAAGATTTCCAGTTTTTAAAAACAATGAGTAGAAGTCCAATGAAAAAATAATAAAAACCGGTACAAACTAGCCAGGAAAAAGGAACCTCGACTTCTCTTTTGAGACATCAAATTACCTGAGACTTTGCTTCCTCCCAAGTCAATCCAATCCCCTTGCCCATTATCTGTCCATCTATCTCAACCTGAAAAATGGTGCACATAATCAGTGATAAAGTAAAGAATAACTCTGTTAAACATTAACTTATCTATTGCAGCCAGTCACAAAATAGACCTCTTTTTCAAAAGAGAATGAACATATATTTATATCTTAGAGGTTTAGAATCGTTACATCACTGCATGAAAGAATAAAAAAATTCTAATTTCTATCACATGATGAGGGCAGGGCTTAAAACCAAAAAATTATTCCGTGAAAAGCAGAGGAATATCTAAATGGAAGGAACTAGAACCAAGATAAAACGGCAACACATGTGGTAATCTAACATGGTTTGATGCAGTAAATTAGGAATAAAAAAAACAAAGAATCAAACTTAATAAAAAGAGATCCACCTGTGCAAAAACCTCATTTTTCTGGCCCAAATTGGCTGAGAGTTGAGGCTGAGTTTGAAAAGCTAAGCCAAGGCCCTCTGCAGAACACTACAGAATTGGAAAGCACCAAATGAATAAGATAAATAAAGACCGACCTGAGAAAACTGGGATAATATTAATCAGAAACTTACTAGCTCTTTCAGGGCACTAATTGGACCAGAAGATTTTTTGGAGGCATCCAATCTTGGATCTAGTGTCCTATGAGGCATGGATGCAGTAGAAAACGGCAGGGGCTCCTCCTTGGATAAGGATTGGTACCCTAAAGGATTGAACTCATTGGTAAAACCATTGATGGATGAATTAGGAAACTTGCTCCAGTCCCCAGTAACTGAACTGGAATCAGGCTTGAGAGTGGAGATGTACTTCTCTGCAAGAAAGATCTTACTGGTCAAAAAACGAAAAAAGCAAGTGACATTCAACATGTCTGGTGGAAGTTTAGGAGAACTCAGAGGAAGAACTGCTGGTGAAAAGCATCAATAGCTAAAATGTTCTTCATTAACACAAAAAAAAAAAAATTATTACTGTATTATAGATAAATATACATCATCTACAAGCAATATTGCAATGACAAAGGCAACTATCTGAAGAGAATACTCTCAAAATAAGGGAAAATGCTTTCAGATCCCAACCATGGAAAGAGGAACACAACTTCCTGCTAGACAATGGGCTTGAATAAATTACCAAGAATTTAGACTTAAATATATGGGCCCATCACGGCAGTAAAAAGAATCTTCATCTAAGTTTTACAAAATATAATACTGAAATTAGGTTTCACACTGTTTCTTCCTTGCCAAATCCAAATGCTCTTTTTACTTTATCTTCTCCCTAATAGTTGGTTGCTTTTACTTCATCAAATCAATTACTTTTTCATAGATAAAAAAGATAAAAACATTTCTGAACATAGAGAGGTACCAGCCAAATGCACAAGTGAAACATCTGCAGCTATACGCTGAGCTTCCCTTCTAGTCCTACCAGTACCTTCACCAACTTTTTCACCCGAAAACCAGACCTACAAAAAAGTCAAAGGATTAAGGGAGATGAGAAACTGCTTCATAACCGAGCTTTTCTACCAGATACAAGTGCAAAACAATAAAATGAATTTCCGGCTGAGTAACCACAGACAATTATCCCATCATTTAGAGGTGAAAATTGTTCTGGCCACACATTGTTGACTGTGGTCAATAAGACTAGTCTTCCATCATTTTTTGTTTCCATATCATGATCCTCATCTTTTTTTTTGGATATCCTAAAAAATATGGAGAGAATACTGTTCTCATTTCTCCTCCTCATTTATTCTTAAAAACTAACTATTGCCTAGGTTAAAAGCTAGAAGATGTCTGATAAGAAGAGTTATAACCACCTCTGCAGAGAACTGTAACTCCGAGCTGGAACCCAACGCTCGCTTGAACTCCACCTGCAGGCATTACAATTATAGACAATGAAAATCGGTAAATAGACAAAAATTAGAGGTCGTCAGGACTCCCAAAAATGTTATACCTTTGTTCCACACTTGACAGCAATATCCTGCAATGCTGCAACAGGTGTTTCTGCAAATGACCCTTGAACAGGTTCCAAGTCAAGGTCTCTATTGGTAGAAGATCGAACCATGGAAGTTTCTTCACCTAAAAAGTGAAATTAGACAAAGGAACAAATCATTGTTCAATCCAACCATCAGGAAAGGCTACCATTTTGTATTCTGGTTATCAAACTATACAGAAATCTAAGAAGCATGGGATTGGTTTAAGAGAAGGAAACAAACATTAAAATTTAAAATGGAAACTCTTTCTTTGGGTACCAAACTCAACCGCTTGCAGACAATATAAATTTGTTCACTATTATTGCTTTATTTCCTTTGGTACAAAACCGCACGCTCTTCCACAAAAGTACGCAACTTTGCGTATAATATTTTCTTCCAACTAAACCACCTATAAGTATAAAATGTGCATTCTGGCTAAATGAGCGAGTGATACAACAATACTATTCAGATATACAACCATTAAGAGAGTTAACAATATAAATTGTAACTCACTATCATGCTCAGTCAACATACAAATTCTCACATTTATATAAATCATTTTCTTTAAAGGTTCTTTTTCTATTTCTTCTAAGTTCTTCCATGCTTTTAAATTAAATTTAAAATTCTAAGATCTCTTCATGCTTTCGGGTATCAAACATCTCCTACTAATATGTCCAACCACCATAACATTCTAAGATCTCTTCATGGTTTTGGGTATCAAACATCTCCTACAAATATGTCCAACCACCATAAGTGTGTCTCTCTTCTTACGTACCCTCTCTTTTTGCTTTCTAATTCTTCGATCACTATTCCTATCTAATCCAGTGGCCAAACTACCATTTTCCAAGAAAACATTCATAAAAGTAGACCAAATGAATTGAAGGATTTAATTATACCTGGAAATGAATGAAAACTGGGAACTGGCTGATTTATTCTCAATCGATCATCTCTTGGAAGTGTCTGCATAGGAAAATTTGTCAACAGGTTCCTGACATTATTTAACAACAAATCAAAGAGAGACCAGCGGATTAATAAATTACCTCCTTGAGCATCCTCTGACTTTCAAGAAAAACTCGATCAGGAGGAATTGTACTCTCAACTTTTGGAAGAAAAGGAGGATGATTGGACCGATGCTTCTCGATTTGCATAGTCTCAGAGCTTACAGGAAAATCCTTGGGCGGTTGCGCTCTGTTTACTTGTCTTGGGCTCATCTCTTCTTCAATAGGGAACCAACCACGTCCCTGCGTCCTTGGCGGAGGGACTTGTAATGGGGTCCGTGCAGGAAACTGCGGCTCACTTGAAGCACGCTCCCTTGAGTCTTGGCCATGTTGTAATATGAGCAGTCTCCTCCTAGTATCTGGATCGAGTTCAGATTCTCCAACCTCCCCTTCTTCCCTAGCAGGAGAACTTTGAAAACTTGTTTCTGGAGGAGCAACTTGATTGATGGGAGGTTTAAGAACAGCAGTCACTTGAGAAAGCTGCTGAGACAGAAAAGGAACTGCGGGACCTTGCATAGACTGGGGAAGAACTGGGATAGAAGATGTCAAAGCATATTGGCTGCCATTACTGCTTTTTGGATCGAAATTTGCAATTGCCAAAGGGACAGATGATGATGCAGATATAGCCTCCTAAATCCATCCAAATAATAGAAGTTATAACACTAAACCAGTTGAAGTACAAATAAAATCAACTTAATCTATTAGATCTCTTGGGCAGCCAACAAAACATTGAGCAGTGCTGAAGGAAACATATGAAGGGAAAATTACCTTTAATCTTCTTTCTACCTCGGCATCTGCCATGCCATCAAAACCAAATGAATCCTTGTTTCCATTAGAAGTAGAAGGTTCATCCTGAACAAACCCGAAAAAAAAACCATTAACATCAAGTTCTTAGTAAATGTTGAAGCACAAAGAATAATTTCATCTCACAATCAATATTTAAAAAATAGAGGAAGGAAGAGCTGAAAACCAGAAATTAAAGGAATAAAATCCATTCAATGGTGCAACAGGAATCCAAGAAACAGAAAACAAATATTCTCTTTGTTAGCAAAAGATTGGTAGTAACCAGCAAGAGGCCAACTAAAATTTCTCCAAATACTAAAAAAATTTCTCTAATCCAACATAAAAGTAGATATTATTATACACAACAAAATAATCACTAACCTCTGCAATCAAATAATTGCTCACATCAGGAGGAGCAGGAACATCTTTAACATCATCTTCATATGCAACTTCAACAATCCGTTGCAAAAGAACATCATCAAAATCCCTGTAAAAAATAGATTCCCTAGTATGAAAGTGGATGTAGAGAGATAAAACCAGATCTGGGATCACTACACTAAACAGGAAATCAATTGGTGCTCATTAATATGAATGCGAGTGCATTTCCAACAGTTTAAAGTTCAACAGATCTTACTTGAAGAAACCACCTCTCACATTGCAGGCTACATTTCTTGCAACACAGAGTACAGGGATAGCATTGTTGGCCTACAGCATAATCCAATGAATTTCATAAGATCAATACAGTTGTAATGGTTTTCAAATTAAATTTAGCCAAACTACATAACAAACAAAAAGAAATAAAGGAATAGGGAGAGGAGAGCATAAAGAAAGAGAGAAGTTACACACTTCAGCTTGAGGAGCATAATATGGAGCAAAGGCAGGAACTACATGAACTCGAGGTTGATCCTTCTCGTCCCAAACTTTCAAACGATCATCAATCACAAGTGCCATCTTAGGATGACAATTACCATCTTCAAACACATTGAATAATGATTTCCGCAAGCCTGGAAAAAAAAAACAAGAATAAAAAGAAGAAAATTTAAAATATATATCATCAAGGTTCATGAAATAAAGTGAACACCAGCAATAGGCTAGATGGACATGAAATTTCCATAATGCTTACCAGATTTGACACACACAATACGTTCCAGTAACTCTTTTGGGTTAATCAAATTTGATTCTGGATCAAGGAGTCTCCACATTTCTAAAGCATAGTCCCTCTCTGCCATCGTACAAACATAAACTTCAAAGCGCTTTCGACCTCTAGCAGTTAAATAGCTTCTGAGATCCTCCCATGCAGGTCTCAGTCTAACAAGCACACTAGTATCACGAATCTGCAATAAAGAAAAAAATAAATGAAACTTACAAAAGGCATGTTAAAAGTTAAAACTAAAGGCATCATGTCTATTGAAGTAAGACTAGTCCATCTAATGGAGATATGTGAAAAGGACATGGAGAAGGTTGCTACTTACTTGGGGGTTAATACGAGTAAGGATGATGTTCTTCTCCTGAAGCCTTAACAGTGGCCGAACAATAGGTTGGTGATTATCCGATAAGGGGGGAACAACCTCAGACTCAGATTTGATAACCTTTCCATTATCAACAACCTGGTCAGATTCTGCATACTGCTTCAATATATACTTGTCGTCTTGATAACGCTTAATTTCTGCCAGCATAGAAGCAGCACGAGATTGATCAAATTCAGAATTTAGTTTTCGCTGCAAGGCCTCAATTCTGTCCTCAAACGAGCGCATCGTGTTAGCTACAATAAGGGTTTCATCTAAATCAAAAACGATGCCAAGACATCTAAGATTCAACATGACAAGGCAAGAGTCGTAAAGTCCTGATGCAACACTGAACCCCCAAAAGCAAGGAAACTGTCCTTCATACTTCCTAGAATGCATTGCAACCAAATGAAGTTCATCCCCTCCAAGAGACATTATAGCAGTCTACAAAAATGGATGAAAACAAACATTAAGCTTTGACAACATCACTAACATCCATCTTTAAGGCACAGCAATTTGTTGAAGGAAAAAGGTATTAAAGACAAGAGAATGCTAGCAGAACAATTTAAATGCGCACAAACATAATCAACAATACGACTTCAGGCGTAATATTGGTTTAAAGATAATACAAACATAGAAAAATAATGATAGGAGACACTTTCAGTCCTTATGTCAATCGTGATTGCCACTTGTACAATCTTCCCAAATGCAATAAATTTCAGGACACAGTCCTAAAAGGCTAATCCAGGTTCCAGTCATTTACATGAGTTTATGTCCAATCACATCTACAACAGCATACCAAAGATCAGTCCCGATATAATTCCTATTCCAGAAAAAAAAGCTGCAAGAGTTTACCAGGCAGTCACCACTTCCGTTGATAGTCATCATCAGATTTTAAATTAGGGTTCATAACAACTAACATCCAGAATTAGGGTTTTAGATTCCACAGATCAAGATTCCTAACTTAGGGCAGAAGTTCGTTAGATTAAGCTTCACTTATCCTTCATACCAGAAATTAAATCAAGTCAACTTATTTCCATTTAAGGTCTACTTCTTAGTTTCATCTGCCACAAGAGTTAAAAACAGTTGTCTGAAATAGTGAGGTGCAGAAGAGGGAGAGGTAGATTAGAGAGAGCAGAGAGCTGAGGAGAGTGGTGATTTCATGATCATTATTCATTGCATTAATCACAAGATCCAATTGTTTTCAGTTCTGGGTTTCGGTGGGTGTCAAATAATACCTTATTTTCCCTGAGACATGTGGAGTGCAAATGAGAAAGCGGAGAGTTGTGGAATTGCTGACACTTGTCTTTCAACTCCATTTTGAAGCAAAACCCTGACAATGGCGAAGCCGAAGAAGATGTTATCGTGTGCAGCACGGCCAACGGCGGACACCTCTCACTGGGTTGCGAATAATGGGAGATCCTAATTTCCCTCTCCCATACGACGCCGTTCTGGTCATCGTCATTGTACACTTCTACTTCACCCAGTATTCTTTCCCCTTCTATCACGTTCACCACCACCGCCGCCGCCACTCCCATGTTTTCTTTTTCTTTCCGAAGCTCTAGAAGTAGATTAGTAAATATTCTCCAAAAAAAAAAAAATCCCTTAATTTGAAAAAGAATTTAAAAAAAATTCAAATTCCTTCAACTTTGCCGTTTATACCCAGATTCATCGAATTTCAAGGGGAAATAAAAATATCAAATAGCTCGGTTCCCGTTCTTTCATCATCATCAATCCCTAAGTAGTAATAATTCTTCTTGGAATTCAACGGACCGATTTTTTCCAAGTTTATCAATCAATCAATCGGAAAACAATATGTAGTTATCCAGAAAAAATAAGAAAAAAAGGAATATAGTGGAATTAGGGTTCTTAGATCTGCTGGTAGAAAAGGGGAAGATTGTTAATGTTGAAGACGACGAAATCAACTCCGGCGATGAACTTTTCCGTCCGGCTAAGTTCTGTAAAAATCTGGTGAAGAGATTTATATGCGTATAAATTTACGAATATTTTTTTGACGATGTATGAGTGTGAATAAATTTTGTGAGCAATTTTTTTTATACGGGAGGAGGAAGAAACCCTAGATCCACAAAACTCAAAAGTCTCTCTCTCTGTAGGAAAGAAAAGTGAAGATGGAAAGGAAAGAGAATAATATAGAATTATAGGGGTAGAACCGTAATTCGAGGGTGATTATCTTTTGCCGATACACGAATCTTTGGTGAGTATCGACGTAAGCAATGTAGTTGTACCAGTATTTAAATTTAATTATTATAATTATAATAATAATATCTAAATTAATTAATTCCCTATTAAATCCCGAATCATACACGTCTTTTGCACTCTACTCGTCATTTTTAATCATCATCACTGCTTTGATATTTCTTTTTTGAGGATTATTAGTATTATTTTTTGATATGAAACAGAGAAGGAAATAAGGTCCGTTTACAACCATGTGTTCAATGTATGACCTTCTGTTTTCCACTACTGGTTTATTTATTTATTTATTTATTATCACAAAATTGCTGAAAAATATTGGGGAAAAAAAACTGAAATATTGAAAATTTATTTTTTAAAATTTCATTTTAGATAATTATTTACATGTTCCACTGTGTGATTACAAACAATTTTGAATACGTTATGCTAACATGGTCAAGAAATAAATTTTGTATATGTAAAATTACCATGATTGAAAATTATTGTATACGCGTATCACTATGATTGAAAATTATTGTGAAACGTAAAATGACTAGATATTATTTTTACAAGTAACATTAGTATCGATTAGGAAATTATCTTAAATATGTAATGCTAAAATGATTGGAAAATAGTTGTACATGATTGTAATAAAATTGAAAATAATTGTGTTTATGTAACGCTTAAATGATAGGAAATTAATGTTGCTTATGCAATTTGTTGATTAAGAAATAATTTTTTACATGTAAATTGCTTTGAATGATATATATGATAATGAAAAACTAATTTCTTCCAAGTACAATAATAGTACACATGATTGAAACGGCATATAAAGAAATGTTGATAGGATAAGTGACATTCCTTTCAAAAAAAAAAAAAAAAAAGAAGTAGGCGACATTGAAACTGGCAACGTTTCCGATGAAGGTACGGAGAACAAGTTTATTTATTTATTTATAGTTCTACACATTTTAGGAGTAACATTTATACTTGACACAATTAATGATCATCTTTATAATTACTTACTCCTCAAGTCACAAATTAAATATATATAAATTTTTAAATCACAAACAAGGGGGAAATGAGGAAGAAGAAACAATGAGACACTTTCATTTGAGGAGCACGAAATAATACACTATGGCATCTATGAAAAACTAGATTATACATAGGTGATGACGGTACAAAGCTTCGTGTGTGGTACCCCCCTATTCCTTTTCTATACCTCTCTAAAGACATAACAGAAAAACAGAACAAAACTTAAAAGCTATAGAATGAAAAAATCATACAAGCTGGAGAATATCTACCTAAGATCCTATGATCAGTAATCAAAATCTAACTCAATCATCACTTTCGATCGCCAGTAACATGTTAACCACCGATGAATGCTGGAGGGGTATGAAGAGGATTCAAGCTGTACAGTATCTTGGAGGTTTCCAAACTCTCATGGAATCCTACAAGATTCGATAACTTCCAACACGGCCGAATGAGTTTCTGGTGTGATCATGTCTAGTGAGAAATGAAATTCCTGAGGAACAAATGGATTATATGGATGTACTTAGATACCATTCCAATATGAAAATGGGAGACACAAGCTCCAAAAACACTGGAATTTACAACCAAAATATACATACCACAAATCTCTCCAATACTGGAACAAGTATTGCAATATTCTGCTTAGGAAGACATTCGGCAATAGCTTTGCGTGCCCTCCTACTGGTAAGTCAAAAGAAATGCCATGTGAAAAAAGCATGATCAAGATGCCACTTGTGTAAAAACCATGGTGAGAATACCAACCTCTCTGTTGAAAGAAATGCAAGAAGAAGAGCTGCGTAGGCTTCTAAAATCATTTTCTCAGCTTCTTTCTCTCCCTGTAACACAGCATCCTCGTCATCCTGCAGGAGCTTTGTTTTAGTTTGATTCAAAGAAAAACAAAAATAACTAGTTCCACATAGATTACTACAGATCAATTTATATGCTAGAAACTATTGTTTCTCTTGACAATATAACCACAGAAGCAAAATTCGCATGTTGAAATGTTTAAAGCTAAGACTACACAGTATCTTCCCTTAGTTTCACGACATAAATGTCATTGAATTGACAGCAAAATCATAGAGCTCAATGGAGTAACAATCCAGATGATGCATGCTAACTTACCCAAGACAGACACTTCCCATCAGCAGCCTCACCAATACCATGATTAGCCAAAAAGATTGAGCACAGTAGAGGAATTAGATCCGTACTCTCCTCCACTAAACCCTTTAAGTTCCGCAATGGAACTCTAACTGCAACAAGCTTTGTTCTGCAACCAAAAATCATTCGTCCGTCCATACCAGAATAGCATTAGAAAATCTTGAAAACAATCAGGACATGCATAACAGTCAACTTAGAAAAACAGATAGACAGTGACTCAAAATTCAGTATTCAGTAACAAACAATGATTTGGAGCCAAGACAGAGGCTTTGTTCTTTTTTAGGAAGAATTAATCACAGTAGCACTCTCAGCGTATGAATCTAGTTCTTGTTAACGGTGTCTTTCTCTACTGAAAAAAGAAAAAGGGAAAACATACCTGTTAACACTATCTTTCTCCACTAAATTCACAAGTAACCCCAAAATAGCCACAAGCAAATCTAGTTCTTGGTCAGATAAATGTTTGTTTTTTTCTGGCTCAACTTCAGCACTGGATGTTGATGTAAGATCGCTGTTTTTAGGACTCCCAGATGCAGGCAGACAGGAACTGAAATTAGGATAGTGACTGGCAATCAATGAAGACAAAACTTCTAGTCCTCCACAGACAGCAATTTGTTGACAACCCATAGGATTGTCATTGGTTAAATTCATTAAGACCTGCAAGATGACACAAACTCAAATATGAACAAGTAACACCAATAAATCAAAGTAGTCTGATTGGAATCCAAAAAATAAAAACACAAGATGAATAAATAGCAATTAAGCATTATAAATATACTGAAAGTTCACATCTAGAAACAATACAAATGAAAAGGATTTCATATCTTCGAGAAGACAGGCGTCACCTAGAAACCTAATCAGTGTCAATATGGCACCCAAAGGATGTGCGCCCAAGCTTAAATGTTCCAACAAAGAAGACAACAACAAAGTGAAGAACTTTACCTTTACAGCTGAGAGAAGGCAATCTGACAAAAGGTTGGTCAGTTCATTATCAATGGTAGATGAACAAGACGCCTCAGAGGAATGAGGATCCTCCTTACGCGACTCTTCTTGATCCAACAAAAGAAGGCGTTCTCTACCAATTTCAGCATCACCAACTTTAGCAGCAGTATTGTTAGTTTGTGATGACCGTTTACTCCCAGCTAACATGTCCCATTTAGATGGTTCAAAGTCATCCTCATCAAAGGCGAAAGGATCCTGACTGTCATCCATAGGTTCAGAATTTCCACCATCCAAAACCTTTAGACTACTGCCTCTGCCAAAATTCACATTAAAACCTTTAGGTATATCTGTTCCATCACTACAATCTCCAGATTTTCCACTCCTTGATCCAGACGAAGAAGAATTGATCCTCATTTTCAACCAAGACTCAACCCGGGACGTGTTTGGTAATGGTGAACTTGATTTAGATGATGCAGCATGACCAGAAATCAATCCTTGACTGCCCAGAGATCTACTGAGGCTTTCGACAGATGAGTTGCCTTCCAGTGCACAGCAACTTGTGGATGATGTGGTGCACGGATTCTCATCATCATTCACTGCATGTTCAAATTGCAAGAAAAATGGTTCAAAACAGAAGCTACAGAACTCTAACTGAGATACTCAACTATTTCTTATCTGTTCCATATTTCCAAGCAATTTTCAGTCAATGTGCATAAGCCAATAGAAATTTTTAGACGATACCAAATTACACTTGTATAAAATTTGGGTGGTATTTCTTTTCAATCTAAATACTAGGAGCACCTAAACTTCGGGACCCCGGGAGTGCTTCCAAAACAATGGTTACGGGGAGCTGATCAGAGACTCCACTGTATTACAGATTCACTTTCCAAGTGAACTGAGACAACCTTTCTAACTGCCATGTCTCTCTCTCTAAACAAATCAAGATGACAATGAGAAATCAAGCAAGTAATACCTTTATGATCAAAAAGATGACCAGATTCACTAGAGTTGGTACAAGTGCTCCCGTCCACAGAGATGACCAGAGAACTTCGACGCAAAAATATACCTAGACAACAAGATAATTAAAGAATTTTCATTTAAAAAAAAAAACTTTGCGGGACAGAATTTCTAGGATCTCATAACAGAAAAGTCATTTTCACGGGCGGAGGAGCTGTTTGCAACAAATGAATACTGATCTACCTGAGAGTATTTTGATGACACTTAAGATGAGCTTTATGAAAGACCGAGGAGCTTTCTGACCATCAAAGTTCCCTTTCATTCCAAGCAAATGGCTCTGCAATTAACAATACCGTTACAGTTTTAAAATAGACAAGTTCAAGCAAATTTAATAGTGTGCATGAATTGTTCTTCATGCAATATTGGAGACTATATCCACTTTATGCAATTCATAAATTTTACCTGATTACTACCACTAAGAAAAGTGGCATTTTCCATGATTTTCAAACATTTCAAAAGAACCACCAGACTTTCTAGGCCTTCCTTATCTTTATAATCCAACTCTGGAGACGGATTCTTCTCCATCCATCCCTAAAAAGGAACAAACAGAGGGCACATTCCATGAATTTGTAGAATCAAAACTAGTCATGACTCAAGACATAACAGACTTATGAGTACAATTAAGCTTTGGAATAGACCAGGAAAATGAAATCATTATATTCATTACGAAGTTCCGAGCAATATGCTAGAGCAATGATATAGAATAATTAGCAAGGCATAGCATGAGTCGTCTAGCATACTTGTTTCATGAGTAAAAGTGTCAATAGAGCAATAACTTGCTCGAAATGACAACCACCACAAAATGGAACTGCATTGATGAAGAGTTTCCAGGCCAGTATCGCAGAGCGACTCTGGCTTAGAGAGGAAAACTCACATTTTATGTAGAACTCAAAGAAAAAGAGAAACACAACGTGATCAACAGTTATACCCATGAATGAGCCTAAACCTCTGATAGACTTCTAATTCACCAATAAATTCAATTCCAACTGGAGAACAACAGAAACTTAAAATTCTCAGCAAACAGGACACTAAACCTTCATCTCTCCCCAAAAGGCTGTGACTAATACCAATATAGGCAAGAAACTAATAGAACACATAACTGCAAACACAAAAGTTCACACCTCAATAACTGAATGGCAACTCCTTGCGACCTCGAAAACTGCATCAAGTCCTCCAACCTCTCGTAATTTTTCCTTAAACTTTTGCCCAGTTCTTCGAACCCTGCCCGAGGTTTCTGAAAGTAATAGGATAAATCGTTATTTTCCTTATACAACCATGACAATGTAGAAAGCTTTCACAGAATTTATACAAGGTATCCAATCCATTATTAAAAGAATAAAACCACTCTTTCTTAATCCCTCGACGTGAAACCATGTCACCTTAACAAGCTTTCCAACAGCTCGTACATTTTGTGAAAGAAAAGCATATTGCAAACCAAGTTATTTCAAGTATGATGAAGTTCGGATACCTCAAAAGGTACACAGATTATTGACCAATTTCAACCACTTTATCAGAATATGCAACCTGTTACAAGAAGATGCAACCACCTAAACTGACCCTAAAACCTTCGGTCTTAAACTTCATACATAAATATCGCTAAACGCAACCAAATTCTTCCATAATGACATGCTCAATTATCATACCAAACAACAAATGCAATAGCTACCATCCACATAACATATCCAAGAAACACAATAAGGGTGAAGTTGGAACCTTCAATAGAAATTGTTGAGAAGCACGCCTTTTCCATTGTAAGCAAACTTATCCACTTAGGATTCAACTCTGGTACCTCTGTGCAGCAGTCATTCTCATCTCTCGGTTTCAAATCCTTGCAACTGACAAGAACTTCATGAACCTTCATAATCATTGCAGGCGGAGTTTCAGAACCTCTGACTGAAGTTTGCGAATTATCAGGATCCATACGGATTGCTAGAAGCTTGCTTCCAAGGGTAGGTTCTTTCCTCTTTGAAGCCTCAGATGCGAATGGTCGTAACAATTTCATCAAAAAACGAATGCAACTAGCTAGATCTAGACTAGAATCGTCATAACCCTGAAATAAATATCACGAAACCATTAAACTTAATTACACAGTGTACACCAAGAATTCAGCACAACTTAATGGGAAAAGGCAAGGGGAACCAAGATGATGTGACATTGTAAAAACTGAGTGCGAATATTTTAAAACTGGAAGGGAAGGGTACATATATCTAGGTGTAAAAGAATAGCACGCAGGCATGGGATAATTGATACCCTGTCTATTGTTCACATTGCTCTATTTATATTATCAACCAAATTCTCTTCCATTGATATTGACATATGTTCAAGACAAGCAAAGGTAAAATTAGTAAAGACTAAAGCACACGCCACACCAGATAGAAGTCCTTACTTAAAAGTAGCCGTTGATAAATCTATGGTGTAAAATATAGAGACATGAATTTAAAATGATATAGGCATTGCAATTCACAATCCAATAGAATAGATGCAGAATCGTGTACTTAATCAACATAAGCGGGCGTTGATAACTTGTTCAATACAGCCCAATCTTGTGCATAAACATGTGGCAACAAAGAACTCACATTTCAAGACAACATTTTGCTCAAGAAAAAAGTAAAAATAACTTCAGAAAGCAGCCTACAGAGTAGCACAAAGCACTTGTAAACAAAAGGGAATTAGGGACTAAGAACCACAGACCAAGAATTGCAGTGGGCCAAAATAAACACCAGAGGCCACTGATAATAAAAGACAATTAAGAAACAAGTAGCCCCGCCACGAGAAGCCCTTTATAACTAAAAATAAAGCAAAAGTGCTCACAATGATTGATACAAATTAAGATCACTTACGTCATGGGTTAAAACATAAAATAGAGCTGCTGCTGCAAGGTTGCTGGGTGAATCATCTAAGCTGAGGCCCATTACAGCATCAATGATTGTTTTTGCCATCCTGAGACCACACATTTGCTAGTTACTCGGTGCAGTACAAAGAAAAAAATGAAGCATACCAACTCCAACGATCATGAATTAATGACTTATGCAGTTACAAGTACAGGCAGCGTTCCCTATCATGTGTATTTTTATTTGCTCATAAGCCATGGAACAGAACTCTGATAACAAATGCCATCAAATAGCAGAAAGTTTAAGTGCTTAGCACATGGCAATCAGTATGTTACTAAAGTCTACCATGAGAACATCAGATATAATCCAAACCTTGATAAGCAAAAACTTAGAAGCACTGACGTACAAAATCTAGAGGCTTATATAAGGTCCTAAACTGTAAATAACTTGAATCTTAGATCACAAAATTATTAGTAATATTTAAGGTGTCCAGATATGGAGATGGTGAAAAAAGGAACATCTTCAAAAATATAGAAGAAATTATGATGGAAACCCAAAAACAAACAATTGAAAGTCTGAGTATCAGTGGAAGTACCCATGAGCCCTTAACATTCGACGCTGTGCAGCAGTTCCACTTATGGACAGCAAGGAGAGCAGACTTCCCCTCCGAATCCTAACAGGCTGCCCCTTTCTCAACCCATCCAGTGCAAAATCGACTTCATCCACGTGCTCCATCATCTCTCCAAACTCCTGAGTCTCCATTAAAGTAGACGTGGGAACGATTGAAACAGAATTAGAAGCATCCTCCCTACTTTTCACCTTCTTCTTGTTCTTCTTCGGCAAAACACCATTTTCCTTTACTTTCTTGGATTTCCGAAGACTTCCATCAACCTTTCCGGCATTTTTGTTCTTCTTCACCGGCAAAATCGCCAATTCATCCGATTCTTGACTTGAATTCAAACGTAAGGGTTCCAAATCCATCACTGCTTCGAAAACCCCATCAGCATAACCCGAATCTCCATTCTCGCCGCCCTTCTTGGAGTACAAAATTTGCACTTCATCGTCATCCTGCGAGGAAATCAAAGAACACGGCTCCGAATCCCCAATCTTTAGCTTCTTGGACGACTTCCACAAAGACCCACCAACCCGCCCAAAATCCTCAGCTCCCCTACCAACTCTAGAAGGCAGAATCGCCAATTCATCAGTCTCCTGCGAAGACAAATTATTCAACCCGTAGGGGTCAGCCGAGTCATCATCAAAGCTGTACGGGTCCGAAGACCAACGAGTGGAGCCTTGAGAAGAAAGCGTGAAATCGTAGACGTCTTGAGAACTCTCTTGCGAAAAAGATTCGCCGAATTTCCTCATGCCTCCGCCCCGACGGCCGTAAGTCTTGGCAATCATTTTCTCAAAGCTCCCCGTACATTTAAGAAACACAAACAGGGAATTTGAAAATATGGGGGAAAAATCCCCAAATTTGGAAAGGAACGAATTTGAAAAAATGAAAGTTAGGGTTCCGACAAGGGAGAACGAAATCAAACTCGGAAAGCCCCAATTTCAAAAATAACGAAGATCAAGAACTTCGCTTTGTACCCTCATATGGTGACTGGTGAGGGTTTAATCAAAATCAAATTCAAGATGTATAACAGTAAAATTTAATAGATCTATGAATTCTTTCTAGGTTAAATTTTTGTTTCTTCAGAAAGGGATAAAATCTGAGGATGACTTGGTAATGGTCGTAGCCGTTGATCTCGTTGGAAAGACGTTGAGATTTCGGTTTTGTTTTTTTGTTTTTTTTTTTTCTCTTTTTATTTCTAACTTGTCCGTATTTTCTTTTAAACCGGGGGTATTTTCGGTAATGTGTGCAAGAAGAGTGACAGCTTGGCGGACTGCGACCTTTTTACCGAGTCGTAGTAAAATTTTGTCTAGTATCGGCAAACATCAACATGCTTCACAATTTCCAAAGTGAAATTCAGTTTTACTGTCATTAATGTTTGTTTTTTAGTGCGTCTTTTTAGGTATTTTTTCTAAAAAAAATATAAAACAAATGTGTTAAAAATATAAAATAATATACTAGAATGAAACAATTATTAATATTTAATTCAAAAAAAAACCTAGTAGAAATGGAAACAAACATTTCTAAGCTCTGTTCGTTTGCATGGCATTGGGGGTTGGATTGGGAATTTGGGCCCCCAATACCAAATCCGGTGTTCAGCTGTCTAAAAAGAAGATGACATTGGCATTGGCCCAATGCCAAAAGGCTTCTAATGCCATGATTTCAATCCCGGGCTTGAAACTATTATTTGGGATTCCAAACTCATGGAGTTGAGCAAGATCGCGAGTTATTATCGGGTCAATCTGGGTTATAAGCTATTCGGATCTCTTAAAATTTTTACGACCTAATTTTTATTTTCTTTTCTTCTCCTTTCATCTACGAGACAAACTTTTCCATCTCAATTTTACAGCTAGCCCATTTAAGATTGATGAATAAATCACAAAAATATCTCATCTATCAATTTAATCTGAATAGCTCTCAACCTACCCCAACAAAATCTGAATAGCCCTAAGAGATTAATAGCAATAACAAGAGGCAAAGAGAAGAAAACACATCATGTTTCAGAACGCGTGATTTGGAGGGAAACAGATTCATCGTTGTCGGAGGAGGAAGGAGAAGAACAGAAGACTGAAGGAGCAGGAGTCGGGGGCGAAAGCGAATACTTGGAGAGAACAAGGGCGGCGGTGGAGGGTTTGACTTCAGGAGTACAAGAAACACAACACAAAGTTGGTGATACTGAATGGCGGTGAGGAATTGCCGGAGCATAATCTCCATCACCGCAGCGGCTTTGGCTACCATATTGTATGTTTTCTTCTTCTCCTTCCTTTTCTTTTCTTCCTTCTGAATTTTGGGTTCTGATGATTTGAGGGATAGATTAGGTTCTGATATAGATCTAAGCAAAAGATCTTCGATTCAACTCATTTTCTGATGTTTGTTGTTTGGAGATGTCCTCTCTGCTCTTAAGGGTATGTTGAACTTAATTCCACAATATATTTTGATCAGGGTTTTTGTTTGATTGCTTTGGATTGATTGTATTATTCATGGCCACTGTTACTTCGTTGTTATTGGAAATGAACGTTCTTTTTTTGTCATGCTAAGTTTTTTTGGCTTTTGTTTCTGTTTTGATGCCGTGAAGATGTCATTTATACTTCACAATCCGTGTATGTGTAAAGGGGTCACATCTTCTGTGTATTTTGTGGATTTTCTGTGGACTTTTGAATCCAATTGAATCATTTAGTGCAATTAGTGGAAGTTGATGATAGTTTGCTAAGTCATTTTTATAATGGAAGTCATCTGAGTATTTTTGCAATTGACCCTGGAAAAATGACTACACATAATCTAGTTGACAGAAACATGTACCTTGATTGGGACAGTATTTCTCAAAGAGATGATTTGTTTGGAATTTTCGAAATCTATGAAGCTGTGAAATTATTTAATAAGGTGGGAAATTCCTGGGCAACTTGTGTTTTACCTGGAATGAAATATGAGCTCCCAAGAGCTACATTGATTGAGAATTGCACCTTTCGTGTTGCTTGTGTTACTCGTTAGGAGTGTATACTGGAAAATGGGGACAATGAGTATGTTCTTATGATTGCAAAAACATCATAGGATTTAAATCTTCTTTTTTTGGGGAAATTTATGTTAAACAAATGGAGTGAAAAATCTGAATTTTATGGAATTAAATGCCCTGTTGATGTTGCTAGTATTGATGAGCCCTGTCTTGATTTTGGTTTACTGTTTGATAATGATGCTGGTTTGTTAGCGATACTGAATGCTCGTACTCTGGGCGATGCAAAAGATGTTCCTCTATTCTCGAATGTTACGGGTGTTGATTATGGGACTGACAGAAAAGCTGCAACTATTTTTAATCAATTGATAGAAACTGGTAAAGAGTGTGGTGTGTTTAGTCATTTTAAAGACAAAAATGATATTCATGACATTTGTGTCAACCTTGGTGTGAATCCGACTACTGTTTGGGAGTTTGAATTACTCGTAAATGCTTTTAAAGGAGGAACTACAAAGTTAAAAGTGAACTCGGACAGTAGGAATCATTTGGTTATTATTCCTGCAAGTTTAACCAAGGAAAATGATAAGTTTGTTGGATTTTACTGTTTGGGAAGTTGTTTTGTTACTGTTGATTCATATCATGACCTTGAGATATTAGAGATTGATATAACTAAGAAGTGTATGGTTTACTATAACTGGCCTAAGCATGACTGCTTTCATGAAAACACACATGGTTCTCATTTTTGGGTTAATGTGGTTGGTAAAGGGGAAGCTGCATGATTTTTTGTATGCCAGCTGCATTGCTATCTAAGCTTCTGAAAGCTAAACTGAATGGAAATAGTTCATTCCATGTTAATTTTGTCAACGAGAATTATTGTGCATTCATATGAACTTTGGGTGGAAAATTGCTTGGTTCATTTTTTAAGTTGTAATAGATTGTCATGATTTGGCTGAATCTGTTGAGGGATATGGTCCTGACATTACTGATACGGAAATGGACTTATTTGGTAGTGATCTTTATGCTATTATAAGTTGTAATAGATTGGATCTATAGTTGCCTTACTTTTATGACTAAATGGATCTTCTTATGGTCTTAGTATTTGAGTTTGGATTATGAATAATATTGTTGCAGTCTTCATTTTTCTCACATCTTGCTATCTGAAGTTCATGTTCTTTTTATTTGAGATGCTGCTCAGATTTGGACAGCTGCTAAAAACTTGCCTTTTGCATTCCTTGTTTTAACCTACTCTTGTTTTTGCAGCCAAACCAATACTGCAGTGTCGAGTTTGAAGCCCAGTGCAGATTTTGGAGTTCTTTGGATAATGTATGAGTTTGACTATCTTTCCCCCGACTTTCTCGCACTTTTCATTTTCGCTATTTCGCGACCTCTATATTCTTACCGGCCATACATCATAGATTGAATGCCCATAATTTTCTCTTTCTATTTCAGGCAATATTTACAGTGGTTACAAGGTGTATTGCACATTCATCTTGTTGTGGAGGAATGTGAAATTGTTGAGCTCAAGCAGCAAATTGATCCAAAGACCAGGAAACCAATGAAAAAAAACCACTTTTCGTAAAGAATAATGCCATTGTGGTTTGTCGTGTTCAGGTAAAACTCTGCATGATCTTATTTGATCATTATGTGGATTCCTTGTATGTCTCTAAAGTAAGCATCTTAAAGAACATTAGTTTTAATGTTTTTTTTTTTTTTTTGTTCTTTTTCTTCCCAATCCATCAAGTTCTGAAAGACCGTTGAGATTCATGAACATGTGTGTATATATTGATTGATAATATCAAATTAAGAACAAGGAAATAGCAGGAGATTTGTAGGATGGAAGAAGAACATGACATAAGCTTGACTTTTGGGACTTTAAGTTAAGGAAATTATGGGGGTGACAGTATTATTGCTGGGAGTTTTCTTTCTCTGTTTCTGTATCTTCAGCCTACTGGTTTACTATATATTTTTAAGAGGGGAGGGGGGAGGGTGTTTGATGTGCTTATAAAAATTTTGAACACTATAAGATTCAGAGTTCTCTGTTTTGTCTGATTAAGGTATTCAGGATGGTTAAGACAGTCATTAAAAATCTCTATCACTGGTCTGAAATGATAACTGGTACACATGGTAAGTTGCTTCACAAAAGCTCAGATTGGATTGAGAGATGTCATAGCCATGCGGGTGGGGAATGTCCCTTTGTTTTGCCAAAAGAGCAGTATGGAGGCCTAAATTTAGGTGGTCTGATCCTTGGCAATGGAGTTAAGCATCAAGATCATTGCTCGTTGGTGATAAGCTTGTATGTTCTCCCAGTTGGTGCTGTATTTATCTTCCATGAAGTTCTTCTTGAAGGTGGTTTGTTTGGAAATTTTCTTTTTGGACTGAGTAATTATAATTCTATATGGCGTACTGCGATTCTATATGATGAGTTTACCAGTGTTGGAGATCATGTTGATTGTGGAAGTAGTGAAGACAAAAAGTCTCTTTTCCATGATACCGAGAGTTGTGTGATTAAGTGGAAGTACTTTATGTATGTAATTGAGGCAGAACATAACTCTGTGAAGCATGATATGCTGAAATTATTTTTTGGAGCAACAAAGAGGATTAGGTTATGGGATAAGATGGCTACATGCTTTAGTGGTGGAACCTCGTTTCCTGCTCTATGGAATTACTGTGTTGTTGAGCTTGATCTCAACTATGGGTTTGTTCATTTAGCCACTGTACTCGAACTGTACAGAAATGGTATTTTGGAAGAGAGCAAGTCAGTAAGCATTTCTGAAAACCTTTTGGACAATCTGTGGGATGGTTTGTACAAAATTCAGCAAGGGGTTACCAGCAATGAATACATTTGTGCCTCCACAACTCAATGTTCAGGTTGGAGAGCAAGGAAGTTTAAAGCATGGCCTGAATTGGTGTCTAGTTTTGAAGGAGGAACAATCTGTCGTAGAAAAATAGTTGTTGTGTGTGATATTTGATGAGAAGAACTTTATTTGGTTGATTGCTTGGCGCAGTTGGAATGCTCTTTTAATCAATAATCAGCAATGAAGATGTTCCCAAATGCTGCAAGGAAAGGGATAGTAACTGCTGTGAACCAGAGTTATGTTTGCTATATGCCGTGAAGATGTCATTTGCTTAATCTTATTTTCTGAAATTTGATGAAATGTAGAATCATTTGGTTTTAGTGGTAGTAACATTGGTTGGATTAGTATTTTTACAGATTCAATGTTTGATAAGAATATATAAAATGTTTGGGTGGTTGTTACATTATATATAAAATTGGGTGATACCGTCCTTTTATTTTATAATCAGTTTAGTTTCTTTGGTTTCAAAACAATCACTTTAACTAAATTAATTACTACATACGTAACCAATTTTTGTAATTTTTATATTTATGTTAATGTAACAGTGTTGGAACGACCTAAATTGATCATTATAATGAATATTTAAATAATTGATAAATTTAAAAAATAAAAATTTAAAGAGATTCCTCTTTGTCACCTTAAAGATGATAACAAAATATATTATTCTAGAAATGATACTATTTAAAACAAAAATTAAAAGTTGAAATAATTTCAAAATCAATTTTTTTCTTTTTCTTTATTTTTGTAAAAAAAAAGCAAAACCAAAACCAACTCAATTATTTGACTATCCGAACAGAGAATTTGGAATCCTAATTGAATTTGTGGCCAATTCCATGATTTTGCCGAACGGATAAATTACATTGAATTAAAATATCTTGAATGCCAATTGAATCTCAAAATATTCTAATACTAATTGAATCCCAAAAACTTGTAGCCGAACACACCCTAAAGGCATTTCTAAGTCCATTTTTTGGAGTTTGGAGTAAGAGGGTAAAATGACATGAGCGGTGAATTCAATTCAGGACTTTGATTTCATTTCAATTTTGGATGTAAAAGCATTGATATAAACTTGTTGCACTTTGGAAATGCGCAGCAAACTAATGGTAAAATTATAAAATAATTAATTAAAAGTTTCTTAATTTTCTAGTAAATGAAAGGACTACGTGGTAGTATATCAACAGTATATCAGTATACAATATTTACGTGTTAGTACACCAATGGAACATTAAAAAATTATTTTACTTCCTACAGATTCGGTTCGCCTAAAAAAATGGCATTTTATATTTACCTCTTTCCATAGCTTACATCTATGATAGATTACTGATACACACTTATGTTTGGTTCGTTTTTTTAGTGTATATTTTTAGGTGTTTTTTGTATTGAGAATGTAAAAAGGTGTGTTAGAAATGTAAAAAAATATGCAGGAATGGAACAGTTATTAATAAAATAAACTGAAAAATCATAAAAAAAGCAAACAAACAGAGTAGAATTAAAGTACCATTCTTGTTACATTGCAAGATTTTGCAGACGGTGAGTTGTACCAGCAGAAAATTGCAATACATAAACTGAAATTTGAAGTACATTCTGATAAGTCATGTATTCAAATATGTATTATCATTAGTTGCAGATCAAGATTGAGTCTGGCTGGTGAGAAAACTGAGCAGAAGCTGATTCACCTCATCGGGGAATTGCTCTTGAACAAAATGGCTTCCCTCTGGCATGTATTTTATCTCCAAATTCGGTACATAAACCTTAACTTCACCACTCCTTATGTAGTCTTCCATCCCTGGAATCTTCATGCAATAGTCCTTCTCACCCATGATCAGTAATGCTGGAACTTCAATTTTAGGATCTTCCATACTTGAACTGTCACCCTTAGTCCTAAAACATAGTCACGAAGTTATATCACATCGCGTCGATTCACTCAATTCAAGAAGGCAGTTCCTTAGATCCTGATGAAGTAGAGATATTTTTGTCATAGATGGGCAAATTGCAGATTAAGACTAGCTAGTCCATTACCTGTAAGGGACTTGCAATGCTGTTTCGAAACCAGATTTCTCATATAGGTCGCCGTAGGAGGATTCAAATTCTTCCTCAGTTATCCAAGGAGGAAGAGGAGTGGATGGTTCCACCAAGTCCATGACCTCCTGATTTTCACTAGCAATCGGTATTTCGCTCTTGGAAAACAGAATGTAGATATATCTCACAACTGTCCTAGCATCGAAACGTCCAAAATCAGCTTCAGCCCTCCCAGGTTCCTGATGAAACATTAAAATAGATAAAGTTCGCAACAGAACTAGGAGAAAGCACAACGTAGACTATGAAAAAAACCAAAATGCACATACTTTCCATCTATAAACATAGAAGCCTTCAGGCAGAAGGTTGTGGCGCAGAGGATTCTTTGGTGCCAGGAATGGCAAGCCTAATGTTGCTATCGCTGAGACTCTATTTGGGTGGAGGAGAGCGATATAATAAGCTAAAGGAGCCCCAAAATCTTTACCAACGAGAAAAACCTGCAAAATAGCAGTCAAGATAGAACCATTAACAAATCATTAGCTTCAGAATATTAGATTACTTGGTAAAAGAAGTAGCACAACTTTTTCTTGGAGATAAATTGTTTTAATCTTATTACGACCATTTTTAACAAGAATAGGAAACAAGTTAATGGAGTGGCGACTTCAGTTGCATCCAGTTTCTGTAATAACCTTTTACAAAAAAAAGTTTCTGTAATAACACTCCAAGAGGGCTGTCTTTATATTGGAACAGAATTACAACATTCATCGGTCTCAGGGCAAAATATGGAAATCAATTCTATAAGCTTAGATAACATTAAGTAAAGGGTCAACACACTTGAACTAAACGAAGAAATCAATCAACATAAAATGTGAATTAAAGTCAAAATGAAGCTGCTTTGTCTAAAAAAAAAGGTACAAATATAGATAGATACCTTTTGGATGCTCAAAGCATCAAGAACTTCAACCATGTCTTTGATGAAGTCGACAAAAGAGGCCTTCTGGGGTTCCGGTGGCGGATCCGATAATCCATATCCTCGGTAATCGGGAGCGATGGCCCTGTAACCAGCCTTGGCCACGGCAATCATCTGGTGGCGCCAAGAGTACCATATCTCCGGGAACCCATGTAGGAACACCACCACCGACGGCCCACTTCCGATCTCAGCCACGTGAATCTTCAGGCCATCGCTCACTTGTATGAATTTGTGCTGTATTCCCTCCATTTTGAAACTTTACTTTTGGAGTTTTGGTACTTTCTACTGTTTTACAATTACATTTTTTTGTTTCCTACCCCAACTGATATATCCCAAAGCAACAAATTTCGTTTGTGCCGTATTGGAATTGCATAAAATGGTTCAACTTTGGCAGGCGACAGCGACTTGGATGTGAAACAAAGTATGTGAAGCTAAAACCCACAATTCAATAGGCCCATTAATGGCCGAACTTTGAATGTGGGCGCTTGTTTCATTTGTGATTTGTTAGCATTTTCTGGCGGCATTTGACTTGTGCGGAAACCAAAATACAGGATTTTTCTTGTGATTTAGAGCAGAGTAGTGAAAAAAGGTTCACTATCAAGTCAAACTGTAATTAATTACCGAGACTGAAAGTTATTCAAACTGTAATCATCAATGGAATTCAAGTGTTTGTTAAGTCGAGGTTAAGCTGAGAAATGAGTTTAGAGACGCTAATTATTTGGTGTCACTTGCGATACAGGGCCGGGGAGAAGTATATTGGTTAGAGATCCTCGACGGAGTTAAATCGTGGTTAGAGTATGATGTGATAAGATAGTATATCACCAGATATTATAACTTAATTTTTAAAACATTAACCTCTTTATCAATCGTACCGAAAAAATCTGATTAGTTAGTCTACTCTAATGTAATTAGAGGTACCATTAATGAATGAGAATTGTTGTTATTAAAGTATTTAATCCATAAATACAAGGAGCATTTAGGAGTTTTGACAAATAATGTGAAGGATTGTGCAATCTTCAAAACAGAATCACAAAAGTTATTAGTACTAATTGTTTAGCTCCATATTTCAAAGCATGCCGGTAGTCTAGAGATTTATTCATACAACTATTTCGGTGAACATTATAGAACGATTAAATATAATGATCGATGTATGCCGCGCTTGAATATCTTCACCATGAATATTCAATGTTTGTGGTTCATTGCTATTCGAAACTAAATAATCTATTAGATGGAATAAGCGCGCTTCGCGCATAAGTTAATCATATTATAATATAATGAAATTTTTTTTTTCATTATTTAGTGTAAATACTAATACTATTCTAAGTTTGGGAAAAGAAAATACACGTATACAAAGTGAATAATAGAATACGATTAATTTTTTACATAACAACTACCAAAAAAAAAAAAAAAACTAAAAGTTTTACAAGAAATGAGAAAAATAATGAGTAGGAACACCTTTAATGAGCTTGGGATAGAAACATCATCGAGCGTAAATGACAGACAATTGAAAGGAAAAAAAAATAAATGAGATAAACTCTTATTTTTTAGAACTATATTTATTGAAAAATTTAAAATACAAAACTCTCAATATTCTATATGAGTTACAGAATAATCTTTCTAATTCTCACTAATGAAATCTTAAAATCCAATGAAGAAAAGAAAAAAAGACGCATGAAAAATTTAAAACTACAAAAATACATGAAACTATAGTCGATCAAAATTCAACTAATAATGAACATTAATTTGTTAACAATATTTAAATGAAAAACAAAATAAAAATTAATGGAATGAGATCAAAGGTCGGAACATCAAAGAAACAAAAAATGTAACACATGTCTCTTTAAATTTAAAATAAAAGAAAACATTAATGGAAAAAGATCAAAGGTGATACCAAATATAACATAAAGTCATTTCATGTTCTTGGTTAATAAAAAGAGAAAATTTGACCTATAGTTAATACTTAAAAAGGACTACCAAACTCAAATTTATATTCTGTAATTATAATATATATTGAAGATTGATAATATTGGATCACGGTATAGTTGCACGTACAATTGATTTTAGTATTTCGAAATTTCGAGCCAAGAAGACGGCGTTACATACACCCAAACAATTGCCACATTTAGTTGTGACATCATGTAAAATAATATTTTTTTTTGATAAATTATGTAAAATAATATTATGTCCATACAACATACACTCACCAAATCTCTTTTCTTTTCATAGTAATTAAGACGTTGTCGCTTTAAACATAGCGTAAGCACTCATTTTTTTTTTTCTCACTCTAATTGATTCACAACATATGATTTTGCAGAATGAGCACATTTTTTTCCACTCCAATTGATTCACAGCATGCCATTTTGCAGAATATGGAAGTAAAGATAGTATCTTCAAAATGTAATGTATATAGTTATTGAATCATGTTGATTGAAATTTTTACCAGAACAGAGCTAAATGATGAGATGTTTGATGGAAACTTCAACATGAAGAGTTGGGTGAGTAACTCAATGCCAAATGGATTGGCTAAGGTGCTAGGTGTTATATCCTTAGCATGATTTGAACTTCAATCAAAAGATGGAAAGTTTAAGTGTAATACTGAAAGTGGCTCTAAATTGCACGAAAGAATGAATCCCCACGAGGAAGAAGCACCATCAAAGGTGTTCTTGCATGTCATCCATAGATATAGGTGAAGCAAGTAAAAAAGAGTCATCACGAGATTGTTCATACATCCAGTGTATTGTGGCATGACATCCCTCCAAGCCTGAGAATTTTATGTCGTAATCCTTCACGCCCATAATTTTCATTTTGCAATGCAAGAGAGCATCGACCTCTAACCATATTAATATCATTATCAAATTTTTTGTAAACAGTCAAAATTACCCTTCAATCTAATTTTTTAAATTATAGAATTTAAATACTTTTAAAAATATATAATAAATTAAGCTAAAAAATACTCCATATTATTTTTTTTCTATTAATGTACTTGAATAATAAATTTTTGAATTTAACTATCTCATATCTTTTGAAAAAAATTTATCTTAATAAACTTTTATTTTTTTTTGAAGTATAATAAACTTATATTATTAATCATAAATTGATATTTATTTATAAACTTGTGTTATAATTAAATGTAAAAATTAAAAATTAAGTAATTTTCATTTTTGATGGTAAAAAACGAAGTAAAACAAACCGAAAAAAGAGAGAGAAGAAAGTGAAAGTGTATATAAACTATGATTAGCTTTGTAATTTTAATATTTAATCTCTATTCAGGAGGGTATATGGTAGTTATTACTAAAATTCGGGAAGTTTATGATAGATCGGGACATAGCTCGAGAGATAAAATGTAGTTCACCCATTTTTAAACTATTTTGAGACATAGGAGTACAACATTTCAGGAAAAGAAAGAAGCTAATTCCACCAGAGTTTGCATTACTTTCTGAGACCGAAGCAAATACACTGTAAGACCGTAAATGCCTAGAATTACTGGCATATACTCAAAGGATATTCGAAACGACAGAAATGATATGAACCTGGATCAATTAAGGAAAACAGTAAAAAAGAAAAGAGGCCCAGAACCTGGATATCAAGCTGCTGATACCATCCAAATCGTGAGCGTCCGTATCATACACATGTCCATAACCCTTGCCGTTGGATGGAGTGACAGAATCCATACATTAAATTCACCTTTTTCACTTTTTTTTTTTTTAACTCACCAACTCTGTGCGGTCGGGAGCAGAACTAAATGGCAAGTTCGAGGAAACCGTTAAAGATGAGTCAATCCACATCATCAGCCCAAAATCGCAACAGTCCAAATTCAGATACGTAAGCAGTGACACTATCCGCCTCCGGATGTGGGCTATGGCCACGCACGCACCCTACTTGCCTGCTCAACACGTGTCCCCCTTTTGCCTCTATCTTCTTTCCCCCCCACTTTTAAGTCCCTCCGGTCCATTTTACCCTCCCCCACCAATGTGATAGCCCACGTGTATTCTAGAAACCAGCCGCCTCTTTCTTCCACTTGGGCCTCCTCCTCTTCTGCCTCTCTCCCTTATATATTCTCGTCTCTTCTTCTCTTACCAAGTTTCAACGCTTCTTCTATTTCACTCCCTTAAGAGTTTCACTACTATCAGTAAGGGAATTATTTAGTTACTGTGAGAATTTTTATTTTATTTAATTTAATTTTGGGATTCCAAAAAAAAAAAAAAAAAGAGAAGGAAATATGGCTGCTGATTTACAGTTGCCCCCTGGATTCCGATTTCATCCAACTGATGAAGAGCTTGTGACGCATTATTTGTGTCGAAAATGTGCTACCCAGTCCATTGCTGTTCCAATCATTGCTGAGATCGATCTCTATAAGTACGACCCTTGGGAATTACCAGGTAACTTTTTTTTTTAATTTGTTTGCTTTTAGTTTTTTTTGGAGGAAGAAAAATATTGTTTTTTTTTTTTTTGGTGCTTATATACTAATATATGTCTGATGATTTTTGTTTGTCAGGTTTGGCTTTGTATGGTGAAAAAGAATGGTATTTCTTTTCACCCAGGGATAGGAAGTATCCCAATGGTTCCCGGCCGAACAGAGCGGCTGGCAGTGGGTATTGGAAGGCCACCGGAGCCGATAAGCCAATTGGGAACCCGAAACCGCTTGGGATTAAGAAGGCTTTGGTTTTCTATGCCGGAAAAGCTCCAAAGGGTGAAAAGACTAACTGGATTATGCATGAGTATCGGCTGGCCGACGTCGATCGTACTGCTCGGAAAAAGAACAATAACCTTAGGGTGGGTATGATTCGCCATAATTATCCTTTTAATTACCACCAATGTGTGAAAATCAATTAGAAGTATCGTGAATTATGTTAGCATCAACATCAATAATTGATCAAGATCAATGCTCTGAATATTTTCACCTGTTTTTGACCTTTTTGATATTTAGAGCCTGTATTAATTAATTAAATAATAAAGAGATTCAATGAACAAGTGGCCTGATTGTGGGACCATTTAAATCAGAATGTTGGCCAATGATGGCTAAGGAGTCAAATAATACAGCACCCTTTGAAAATTCTTTACATTTACAGTTGTTTTCTCTGGACAATGGTTTTTGGTAGTATTTGACTGGTGATATTTGGACAGATTCATCAATAATTTATGAACCTGGAATCTGTATGATGTTGATTTGATGCGAGTTGATCTGACGGTGGTTGTTATTGCTGCAGTTGGATGATTGGGTACTGTGCAGGATATACAACAAAAAGGGTGCAATTGAAAAGCAGCCACAATTTAGCAGCAGCAGCAGCCGTAAAGTGCCGAGTCAAGTGGAGGAGGATGAGGAGTTTGAAGAGGAGGATAAGAAGCCAATGATAATGATGCCTCCTGTGCCGGAGGCGGCTGCTGTCCACACCGATTACATGTACCTTGATCCGGCGGATTCGGTCCCGAAGCTGCACACTGATTCTAGCTGTTCGGAGCATGTGGTGTCCCCTGAATTCTCACATTGTGAGGTTCAGAGCGAGCCGAAGCTTAGCGATTGGGAGAAGGCCACACTGAATTTGCCCTTCAATTACGATGCCCCCGGGGGAATGGTGGATAATGTGAACGGAAGGAATATGTGGTCGTTCAATCAGGGGAATTTTCAGATGTCGCCACTCCAGG